TGTTGAATTGTTATGTATCGTCTGACATTATCTAGTCTTAAACAGAACAATTCGTATTAGAAAAGCTGATTTGTTCCTTTCATTCGTGCATATCGTAGACTAACCGGAAGCCCCAACCAATAATCCGTTTTCCATTCAAGATTTTAGACATTGCTATGCTTGTTTCCGTATGAGCAGTTTATCTTGGAAGTGTAGCTCATAGAACTATTACACTATAATAATAATAATAATAATTATTATTATTATTGTTATTATTATTATTATTGTTATTTACACTATAGGGTTGTGTAGATTCTTGAGTTACTTTGAAATCATGAATCAATCGATGTTAGACCACAATGAGAAACCTGCCAGCCACTTCCTCCTAGTATAAGGACTCATGACACAGTGCACATCCGAACGTGAAAATCGATTCCAGGACCGTCAGTCTGGCGTGCGAACGCTTAATCTCTAGACCATTGGGCCGTCATCCAACGGTGTTATTGTCTAAATTTTATTGGTTTAAGGGTTATGCGACCTCATTGTCTTCGGTATTTACTGCCTATACCGAACAGGGTTAAACTCCAATGGTCACGATTTCTCTGGTGGAGCCTTCGTCCAAGAGGCCTAAACCACAAGATAGTGGAGTACCGTTAAGAGATGCCGCCCTATGGTAGCCGGTGACCAACAATAGATTTGTACATCATTTGCTCACCTGAGATCCCGAATCTCATGTACTCTGCTGGTTTAAAATTAGGGTTTTCTAATTTCCCTTAGGGAATCTTCCGTATCCATGAACCCGATTTAAGCCCTAAATGGAAATTCGCTTTTCGTTCTCTCAATTTTAGAGGTAACATCGTTACCTTGAGGTGACAGTAAGTAGGACCTATCTGACAATGGCTCTTCTGGCGTTGTTCTGTGAGAACTTTTCGAGAAAGAAAGCAGATATTCCTCACTGTCAGATATACCAGGGCATTTGAAGTCTATCACATCAAGGATTATTATTACTATTTTTATTGTATAACTGTTAGATCGTTGGATTATTTGTATTTTTATATTCTCCCATTCCTAAACTTTCTCTTTTGATCTACAAACCTTTATCACAAATGTTTGTGCCTCAGATTTATTAATCATTAAACTTATTATCCATTACTCCAGTTTTGTATCGCTGATGACTAGGCTCATTGCAATTCTCTAATTGCGTTAGGGTTAGGGTATTTCAATAAAACTGCTGTCTAGGTTATGAGTCTATGACTCATAATACAATAAGAAATCCATTCGCTTTCTATTTTCGTTTTCTGAATGACCAATAAGTTAGAAGGAGTTCATTTTAGTATATAAGAAAAGTCAGTCACCAATCCTCCTGTGAATACACATGAACTAGTCAATAATCACATATGAGAAACAGAGATCATATTTCTGCTTTTCTGTGAGATAACATTAAGGCTCCAATACAATCCATTCAGTAAATCTTATCACACAAAAATCATGATAGTGAAGGAGAACACATGTGGGGCAACCGGATTGTATTTAACGAAAATACAGAGTTACTCAGTAAAATTGGAAAACCATATCGTAAATCGTTCATTTGCAAATTATCAGTTCATCATATCGAACTGGACTGTTCCTGTTGCAAAACATCAATCCATTGTCACTATTCATGCGTTTCATACAAATTCCATTGTGTTCTAACTCTTCCTTTCTTGATCTTCCCCCATCTGCTGCTGCCAGACATTACGTTGACACTCACGTCATATACTACTGATAAGTAGCTCACACTCTAATATGTTAGATAGCAAAATAACAAAAAAGATTGTCAAATGTCAGAAATAAGACATGATTTCTTTCAAATTTCACTAAAACAATAAGTGAACAAATAACTGAATTTAATTTGTCTAGTTTTACATTATACACAAATAAAATCATGAAATTCTTTTTTTTATCTTGGTAAATTATGTTCATAACTAGTTTGATATTTATTCATACTGTAAATAAATGTTAATCTGTGTTTCAGTCCCATGTTGAAATATACAATCCTAATTCAATAAGACAATACAACATAGAAATTTTCCTATAAAATAGTTAGATGTATAGTCGTATCTCAAAAACCTTTAGTGGCCCATGATCTGACTCTAATTTGGATGAACGACAGAGTGAAAAGCGTAAAATTGAAGCGAAGTACAGAAGGTAAGTAAGCCAATTCCATGTGACAAGGTATGACTAGCTATTTATAGTCAGACAAAAATAAGCTAGACATGTGATAAGCTAAATCAACAATATAAATCCACCCTCAAATAAAAGTAGCCAACATTTTTTAAGTGAATAATTAACAAGGTCGAAAGACGTTTGAATAACCCAAAAAGAATGAATCAAAGTGCGCAACGATGGAGTGACCTTAGGAAAGCTCGCCTACCTAATAAGGACTAAAGAAAAATAATATAATTAGGATTTGAAATTAGGAGTAAGAATCAGTAATAATAGTTGAGATTTTTATCACAATTAACGTTAGCCATAATGTCAAAATGCTGTATAGGCATCTGAATGGATAAATATCGCACTAAAATTCAAGATTCGTTTTCTTGAATTTGATTGATATGTTCATGAATTATGGCCTAGTCAAGTAGTTAAACAAAATTTATTGATCATAAAATGTGTGTAAATTTTTAAAAAAATCAACAAATCTTCATATCTGAACTAAGGAAATCTAATAGAAATTTTCATACTAGATTTCTGACTTCAGGTTTAATCTTACTTTTACATTAGAGAGAATATAAACTCTGAAAGACTCGAGGAGAAAGAAGTTGTTGATATAACTATATCATACAGATGACTTGGAGTCATTTTAAGACTGACCTTCAGACTAGTTAATCCATCATTGGTCAATCAAGGGTTTTTCATGGTTGGTGAACTTATTAGAGTTAAGTATTATTGTGTCGAGCTGAAAATTATAGTATTCACACTTTGATACTCCTAATGTTTAAATCAATCTACAAGAAAACCATTATCCAGTACGCTCAAAATGCGAAAATCTAATCAAAAACATTATTTCCAGCAACAATCTGTTTGTAATGGAGTTTTCAATGCATGTTATGTCACATGTTTGAATGGTTGCTCAAGTCCTTCACTAGAGCATGATTTTACCTTAGGCGTTGAACATTCTAGAATTTTATTGCAATTAATTGATACACAATGAATATGTGATAAATCATGCATACCTAGATAGAACACTTGGCGATCTGAGTTTGACACCCAGGGGTGTGCCATCCCTTCTGTTAATAGATCAAATACTTTGTCCTTAAGACATTCACATAGTACATACGATGTTGAGTCACTCAGATTAGTGGTCATAGTGCAACTAAGGAGTAGATAAGCATGATATTCATTTGTATTTAGTGATCAATCAGCCGTTAGTCATTTAGTCCTACTTGAAGTTAATCGGGTTTCAAAAAGCTCGGTGAAAACACCCTAAACTGTTTATTTGGATGAATAACCAGTTAAACCGCTCGATGTAAACAACTACGAAATCTTGGTAAAGTAGAATTTTCTACCAAATATCTTACTATGAATCACACTAGAAAGTCAATGGTGAGTCTTGATCAATAAAATTCTTCCCTAAACACTAGAAGGCATAAACAGAATGAGATTGGTTACTATTAGTTGTACATTGAAATCGTGAACTAGTCACTGTTAGACCACCATTAGAAACCTGGAAGCACTGAATGTTCGTTTTCTCTTTGTATGGGTATCATCAACAGTGCACATCCACGACACCCACTCGTCAGAATCGAACCCAGGACAGTCGATCTAGTGTACGAACGCTTAACCTCTAGACTACTAAGCTGGCACCTAACAGTGGTAATGTCTAACTTCTTGCGATCAAAGGTTATCACTATTAGTTGGCCATAATCAATTAGGATTTTCTATTTAGAAGTAACTTAGTTATTGCGTGGGGCTTAATTTGATGATGAAAAATTTTTTGGCAAGAAATTGGCACCAATAGCAAAATAATTTTTTTTAAATATTGATTAAATCATTGGGGCTGATACCAATTTTTGTTTTGTTAAGAGAGTGGAAAGACCTGACTAATATAATACACAATACAAGTGAAAATATCAATGGACATTGACTTCTGTTGTTGTGTTCTAAATTTCTAAATATTATTACCTCTGCCCACAATTAAGTAATTTATATGTTTGTGTTTGTGTGCGCCCGTGTGTACTTGCAAATATTCTAGAAGCCGGTAAAAATAAGCTGGTGTTTGTTCTATTCTTTCTATATCTCATCAAATCATCATCATCATCATCAACAGTTCAGGCCAACTGCATCAGAGTTGGATTAACGAACAAACACAACAATTAGTATACATAATTATGATTGGTCAGTTATGGCACAATAGTTTACAAGGTCATTGCAACTACATCTATGCATTGTGTATAACTGTTAGTCTATCTACTATTTGAAATAACGTTTAGCTGGGTTATCGCGTAGGTGTGCATATAACAACTATTGGGACACATACTCTCTGACTAATAGAAGAAATATGGGATCTATTGATATTTTTTGAATGTATGTTCAGGTCACTATAGTTAAATTGTTGCACCATCGAACCGAACGAACGATCCATAACACAAACTATCATAAACAGCAACAGTAGTGTGTGTGTGTGCGTGCAAGACAGAATAATCACTGTGCATTTGTGTAGCAGCACACGTGGAAAGCAACACACAATTATGATAATAAAAGCAATCACCTGTAACTGTTACACTAAACAGTAGTAACACACAATAACTAACTATCCATACAAATTAGAGGTTAATAGTTACCTTTTTTTCTGGTGAGATTGCCAATAATCGTTAAATAAATAAATATATATATATTTAAAGAAGCGTGTTAAAACTAAAACTAAAAAGCCATTGAACATTTTTTCCCGCTTCTTTCAATTTGGATTATCATACGATTTTATTTGATCAAATCTGACTAAAATTAATTAAAACAAACAAAACCTTTGAAAATAAGGATTATTACAAAAACAGATAAACGAACAAAAGCATTATTGAACAATTTACTCAAACTACTTTGTATTATATAATTATTGATATATGTGAATGTGTTTGTGGTGATTTTTGTTGAAAATTAAATTATCAATAGTGATTAAAACAATCAATAAAATGAAGGCTTTCACTCGAAGATACATGAATTGTCATTCATTCATTTGGTTATGGAATTATATTATACTGTTTTATTTCATATGTAACAACATCTCAGGAAATAAGGCAATAAGTAAGTTATTCAATGTTTATTGATTATCCTTTCAATGTTCAATCTCATATACATATTTGTTGAATTCAATTCAACTGTTTGATCATTTAAAAATGGATGCATACTGTATATTATCATCTATCACTGTGTAATTTGAATGAAAATACTCTATTTTTAAGCATTTGGATTTATGCGAAACTATCTGCTATGAACTTGCCAATATAAGGTAGATTAAGATGATCGGTCAGTGTTCACAAAAAAAAACTCAACTACAATAAAAGTTTGAGCATAAAATAATATCCCTAATGTAAAATTACCCTCTCATATAAAATAAGCGATAACATGAATTTGAATAGAGAAATGAGAAGACATATTTTGTGAGATAGTACCATTTCGTGCTTTCTCGTCAGTCACATACAAGCAACATGTTATTTGTGTAAATACAGTTTTGAAGATAAGGTCAAAATTTCTTATATAGCATGACATTCACTCACTAGAACCATGGTAAACAAAGGTCAACATACAGTTGTTTTTGAACACATAAAGTTGGACTTTTCCGACCAATCAAGATAGCTTCGAGTAGTTTGAGTGTGTGTGGGTTTTGATGACATGTCACAACTCTAAAGGCTGATTTTGGGTCAATTTGATGATCACTCATCATTAGATGTTTTGCAATGGACGAGGCTGGGTTTCTTGATCGATCTTGAGATGACGGGCTAGGTGGATGAATCATGGATTTGATTAACCATTTTGGAATATGTTCCCCTATCCTGTCTTCCAATCGGCGATCTGTCCTCCTGAAGTAACTTTCTCCGCAGTTACATGTGAATTGGTAAATACAGTGGGATTTGGACTGAACCGGTCTTGGAGACTTGATTGGGGTAACTGAGATCGATTGAATTGTTGTGATAAGCCTCAGATTAGCTGCATTGAATAACATGTTGCTTGTATGTGACTGACGAGAAAGCACGAAATGGTACTATCTCACAAAATATGTCTTCTCATTTCTTTATTCAAATTTATCAAAGGGAACCACTGTTTTGGATAACATGAATATTGAATGTAACATATTTATTGAACATTGAAATTATTATAGTTAACTTCAATCTTGTTTGTTGATGTTAGTATGCTGTGACCTGATCATAATTATTTATCAAACAGAGTTCGTCTTGTCCTTGAAGTAGACAGTACAAGCTACTCAAACTAAAATATTAATAGATATAAAAAGTAGTGAGGTAGATTGTTAAAAAAAATTTCAGTAACTCAAATGAAATATATTTAGCGTAATAATTTTGTTGGAAATGACTTACAACCCTAAGATTAGAGTATTCAATGAAATCCGCGATTCAAGTCGGTAATATGATATTCACACCATATGATATGTTGATATTTGGCAGTCGATGAAAAAGTTTCATTTCACTTATGAATCACAGTAGTGATTAATAGTTGAACACAATTTTTATACTTTTTTGAATCGAAATATCATAAACTGATCGATGTTAGACTATCATTGAAAACTTGGAGGCACTAAACGACTGTTTTATCCTAGTAGGAGACTTATCACCAATGCGCATTCATGATCCCTGCAAGCAGGAATCGAACCTAGGGCCCTCGACCTCACACGAAATATCCTATACTCTTGACCACTAAGTGGGCATCCACTGATGTTAGTGTCTAACTCTCCAATCAACCGACGATATCGCTCGACCATTAGCCAATGTATTCAGTGGATATCTGACTTACACTTGAAACACTAGTCACGGCTACTCACTGGGATTGCGAAAATAGTTATATTCAAACAAAATGCATCCCACTTAATTGAACTTACAGCATATAAAGTGTAAATTATCAGTTTGTACAATAATACGTTGATTTTAATAAAGAAGTAACTAATATGAAACCAAACAACTGTATGTAAATTCATTTAAATGATATTATTAATTTTGTAAAAAACAACGATGAAAATCTAGATTCATAAAGAATGAGATGCATTGATTCAGTGTCTTCTTTCAAATTCTAATCTTCTGAATTTATCATTACCTTTCTATTTTCCCTTCTGGATTAATTTCACTGTTTCATACTTCTGGAATAATATTTTCGATCCCTAATCTTTTTCATTGCTATTAATAATTCTACTACCTCTACTATTATGGGATTTGAACTGACGATCCCATCGCTCTGTGCTAATGTGCTATGACAAGTTGAGCTGATGTACGTATGTATGTATATACGTAGTTGTACATTGTAGATGACTGACTAATTGATATAGAATGAAAAATAAGTTCAGCTTATAATAATTACAAGTTAAATCAAGAAATAAAATGATGATTGACTTAATTAATTGAAAGTTTAGCACAGTTCATAAGAACAGAATGAATAAATGTTTACTTTAATTTTTTTCTCGTATACACAGTTGCGATTATATAATCTGAATAAATATTATTCAGATGATAATAATAAATGTGATGAATTCAGTTATATCAATCATTTTAACTCAGTGTAGAAGATTGTTCACATCAGTTTAGGTTATCGTACTCTATAATCACTTACTTACGCCTATTACCCCTATATGAGAAACGTCCGCCGACCAGTACTATCCAACCTACTCTGTTCTAAACCTGACTTTCTAGTTCCATCAAACTGTTGTTCATTCTTCTCTTGTCTGTCTCCAGTTCTCGCTGCAATGTGTTCATTGGCCTTCGTCTTTTCCGTTGGCCCTGAGGGTTTCAAGTGAAGGCTTGTCTAATGATGCAGTAGGGTGCTTTCTTCAATGTGTATCCTATCTACTTCAAGCGCTTCTTCCTGATTTCTTCCTCTTCTGGAATCTGGTTTGTACTTTTCCACAGTGGGTTGTTGCTGATAGTGTCTGATCAACGGATCCGAAGTATTTTTCGTAGACAACTATCAATCAACACTTGTATCTTCCGAATGATGGTCTTTGTATTTCTCCAAGTTTCCACCACATGTAGTAGGACTGTCTTGACATCTGTACTGAAAATTCTGACCTATTCTTTTGATTTTCAGATGTTCTTCAAATGTAGCAATGCTGACCTTGCTTCACTAATCTGTGTCTTCACATTTGGATAAGATCTATCCTTTTTATCAGTGATGCTGTCCAGATATGTAAATGTTTCTACGTGTTCCAAATCTCCTCCATTTAGTTTGACTTGGTTGGTGAATGTTGTATTGTATCGAAGAATCTTCCTTTTTCCTTTGTCTATGTTGATACTTACTGCTGCAGAGGCTGCTGTTTTACTGACTGTCTTCTCATACACATGTTTTTGTGTGAGGTAGAAGAGCTAGATCATTTGTGAAGCTGATTTTGCCAGTGTCTCGAAGAAAGACTGTATTAAAAACTTTACGAATGCTGTTTTCCCAGCTGTTCTGTACTTCATTACTTTCAATCTCATCTTGACCATTGACTAGTGATAATCTGAAGTTTTTTCAGCTCTTCTCTTAGTTTCCATGTCCTTTATGTTTCTTCTGAACATTTTAATAATCCTCATTTGATCGATTTGGTTCTTCTTAGTGTGATCCAGCGAAACCTGTGTAGCTAGTGCATCAGTTTTAAGCGAGAATATTAGAACTCGACTATGTCTATGAGCAGCGCGTTCTATTTTGACTCTGCCAGTCAGAAGGTTTTTTGAAGTAATGAAAACCACTAAACATTTCCTCAGTAAATAAATGATGATAAACGAAAAGTTAGGGATAAGTAAACTATGAATTCAAATCAATACAATTGGAATTTAGTCTAAGGTTAATTGTATGAGGTAATAATAATAATAATAAGGATGTCTATTTGTTTACAATTCCCAATCGTATCATACAAGTTGTCTATTTCAACTTATATGGCTTACTCTTATGGTCATGAATAGGTGTTGTATTCAAGTTTGGTCAACTCTGGCTGCCCTACAATCTAATCCATTATAAACTATTCAGTGCTGCGCGTCAAAATAGACGGCAATTGAGCACACACTAACACATTCTTGTCTATTTCATCAAAACCTCCTACTAGTCTGTCTCTTTGTCAGTTTCTTCCATTTTTTTGATGAATGAACGTCAAAACATAGACCTAGCCATCATCATCATCTTTACTATGTGTATTGATTGATAGGAAAGGACACATCATTGCTACTAGTCAACTAAATGATAAAGATATTAACTGAAATTTATGTGATTCCATCACTAAATATGCTGTCACTAATATTAACTACTGATTTCTGTTGATACATTCACTTCTATTCCCAACTTCATCTTTGATACAAATTAATTAAAGTCACAATGTACATACACAGATCTAAGATGAGTGATTCTTATCATATTATTCCATGTACAATGAGATTGCGAGAATCGAATATGAGGGATTCAATCAACAATCACAGTCGGTTGAAATTCATGATATAATTGATATTTTTTTAATATCGAATAGGTGTTAGAGGCATGTGATTGTGTCAAGATTGAATAAATCTTGATAGTCACGTCATTTGTTGAAACTGACTAACGTCATTTATTATTATTTTCGTGTATTAAATATTCGTTAATATGTCAATAATTCATTTGTGATGAAATGGTATACTGTTAAGTTATTTATTATTTAAAAGTACACTGAATATGGTGATTCTTAATTAACCTGTAAGCAAATAGTAATTTCATACGAGTTATTATAAGTGACAAAAAAAAGAAAGGTAAAACTAAAATTTCCCACGGTTCTAATGGGAAGTTGTGACAAATGGAGTTCAATCATGTCAAGTGTGAAAAGGTACCCTCCATCAAGGCTTGTTCACCAATCGATCTTGCCTGAGTCAGCTAAGAGTTAAGTGTTTGTGCAAAAGCTTGAATCTTTTGAGTTGGATTCTTGATGGTGGGTGCTTAAAGGTCTTCAAAAGTTGTCTAACTTAGCCCAATAACATTCAACATCCTCGACAACTCCTATACAGACAGCTAGAAGAGTGTCAGCTCTATCCAACAAAAGGATTCCCAGAATCATCAAAAAATCAACAACCCAGCATTAGTCTTCATAA